GCACGGCACTTCGTGTTTGTATAATGAGGCAATCTTCTTGGAAGTGGTGTGTGATTCAATCTGCGTCATGTCCTCTTGTGTGGTTCAGCGGTGATGGCTCAGCAGTATGTTGTAATTCATTAACACTTAGCAGTGTACAAATTTATTATGGCAGAAATCATTTTGTAATTACAGTCTGAAATGTAAAACGTTAGTAGCACCAAGCAAATGTGTTTTTCTTAAAATCGACTTTTTGATCACAGGCATTCTTTTAAGTGTGTGTGTGTGTGTGTGTGTGTGTGTGTACAGTAATACCTCGGTTAACATAATTTTCAGTTTATGAATGAAAATTCATTGAATATAATGCCTCAGTTTACGGATTTTTTTTTTTTTTTTTTGCAATACAAAGTGTATATCCGTGCTGATTTTTAAATTCAATTGTTGGCTTTTTTTTTTTTCTTCACTATATATCACAGAATTAGCTGTCGCTTTCCCGGAATTGATGGGAAACTGTTTCTTTTAAGAAACTAAAAGAAAACATTTGTTTCTCATACCGCCGGGAAATAAACTAAAAAAAAAAACTTTCTTTCTTTTAGCTGGGGGAAGTGACAGCTGACTTTCTGAGCTATAGTTAAGGAAAAAAAAAGCGGTAATTGAATTTAAAAACCAGCACCATAATAAAAAAAAAAAAAAAAAAAAAAAAAATGGTGTGTTGTCCCTCCTCCCATTCATACCAAGCCTGCAGGTCTGGTATGGATTTTGAGGGGAACTCCCACACCAAAACTAAAAACCAAAACTAAAAAAAAAAAAAAAATAAAAATCCATACCAGACCCTTATCTGAGCATGCAGCCTGGCAGGTCAGGAAGTGTGTGTGTGTGTTTGAACCATACCAGGCCACATGCTCTCAACATGGGGGGGGGGGATGATTTGGGGCGGGGGGGGGACAAAAGCCTCTCCCCCACAACCCTGGCCGGTGGTTGTGGGGGTCTGCAGCAGGGGGCTTATCGGAATCTGGAAGCCCCCCTTCACAAGGCGGCCCCCAGATCCCAGACCCCCCCCCCCATGTGAATGAATATGGGGTGCATGGTACCCCTACTCGTTCACAAAAAAAACAAAAGTGTGAAAAAAGGCCATACACTGTCTTTGACAAGTCCTTTATTAAAAGAAAACTCAAATGTCCCCCGCAGTAGATCCAACATCAATCATGATACCTGCCGTCACTGCCACCGCCCCGCCCCTTACATATTTAAGAACTGTCAAACCACCAGAGCAGGCAGACGGCTGGAAGGATGAGCTATTCTTAAGAGCTGTAATTCCTAAACCCTTCCTCTAATTTGGATGTACATACCCTCAAATTAAACCTGAGAGTGTGCAATTTCAGTCCATATCCATTATATAACTATAGCTTGGATATGTTTTAATAAATACCTGAGAAATTAAAACTGTGCCGGTCTCCAAATATATTTGGACCTAAGTGTGTGTGTGTGTAAATAAAACTAGAATTTTTGATGTACATTAATGTACTCAGTCTCACTAGACCATGGATCTAAAATAAACAGAGGGCGATTCGGAAAACTTTTTCAACCCTTTTTAGGTCTTGACAGTATTTGCGACGACAGACACACACACGATAAATGCAGGTCATTGCTAATGCACATAGGAAACAATTTGTTTTTCTGTGTGCTCCTTTTGTGCCTCTACACTGGTGCTGAGTGTGGAAAATTTCAGTGTTTGCATTTTCTGTAATTCCCTGGATGGCACTGCATGTCGCTGTGCAGTGACCTGAATGAAAAGTGAATGTAGCCTGCCATACTAGAAAGTCCTATGCCAAATTCCTGAAATGCATGCAAAAAATTCAGGTTGCTCCTTTTGTGGGAATTTTTGTTTTACATTTTTGTGCTAGGACTCCGACAAATACCCCACTGATACGAAAAGGTATAGAAGCCCTCTTCATGTTGGGAGTAAGTAATGTAAGTATGGTGTCGTAGACAAAACTTTGATTCGAAAATTTCTGTCTCCAGCAGCTCTGTAGGGGATTCATATTCACCTTGCCAACCATTACATGAATCTGTCGCAAGCTGCACCATATGTCGCACAGACCTAGAGACAGATTTCTAATGAGCTCCTATGAAATTCAATGGATTCCAGGGAAAGTCTCTGCACTTCAGCGGTTGTCTGATATGTAAAGCCTTGAATCCAGCCCCCTTTATCATAGCACAGCCTGTTCTCAGAAAATCTGTTACTGCGGTGTTTTTAGCCCTTCCCCACGTTTTTGTGCCCCATTATTGCAGCAAGTACATGCATCTCCATCTCCAGGATTGTGAGAACCCCTTCCTCTCTACTGCATCTGAATCATGCCAAGTCTTTCTGCTTCCTAAGCCCTCTGATTATAGGAGGCTGTCCGGGTGGGTTAATAAGAGCCTTTGCTTCATCTCTGTGTGTAGAACAAGAGCGCGAAGGCTCCTTTCACAACAAAATTAATTTGTTTTCCTTCTGTGAAACGCTGTGCCTGCTCCTTTCTTCCTCCCGTTGTTGTACTTGACATCCTCTGCCAAGTAGGCTGCGTTTATTTCTGGAGCATCGGCAGTTTTATGCAGCTTTTTACAGTCTCTGATAACAAAGTAAACTGTTGAGGGAAACATTCTGTGGAAAGAACCTATTTTGAAATTCTAAAGCTGCCGATATGCAATTTCTTACCAGAAAATAAGATTTGATTGAGTCATTGGACCATGCATGAGATGACCGCTACATCTTAAAGGACATATCACACATTTTGCATGTGTTGGAGGGGTAATGCTCTACGTATAGACTGTAATAGCGTTGTGTTGGAGTCGTGTCATGTTGGAGATGAACATGTTGGTCATGGAGATGTATGTAGAAGACTGTAAGAATTGTTATGATCATGTCCTGTGGTTGGTCATGTTGGGGGTCTAGTGTTCTATGAATAGTGTAATAGAATTGTATTCTGATTACGTCCAGTGATTGGTCATGTTGGTGTAGTGCTCTACATATAGATTGTAATAGAATTGTATTCTGATTACGTCTGTTGGTTGTTCATGGTGGAGGTGTAGTGCTCTACATATAGAATTGTATTCGGATTACGTCCAGTGGTTGGTCATGTTGGTGTAGTGCTCTACATATAGATTGTAATAGAATTGTATTCTGATTACGTCTGTTGGTTGTTCATGTTGGAGGTGTAGTGCTCTGCATATAGAACTGTATTCTGATTACGTCCAGTAGTTGGTCATGTTGGAGGTGTAGAGCCCTACATATATAGATTGTAATACAATTGCATTCTGATCACGTCCAGTGGTTGGCCATGTTGGAAGGGTAGTGCTCTGCATATAGATTGTAATAGAATTGTATTATGATTATGTCCAGTGGTTGGACATGGGTGTAGTACTCTATAGAATTGTAATCTGATTACGTCCAGTGGTTGGTCATGTTGGAAGTGTAGTGCTCTACATATAGAATTGTATTCTGATTACGTCCAGTGGTTGGTCATGTTGGAGTTGTAGTGATCTACATATTAGAATTGCTTTCTGATCACGTCCAGTGGTTGGTCATGTTGGAGGTGTAATGCTCTGCATATAGATTATAATAGAATTGTATTCTGATTATGTCTAGTGGTCGGTCATGTTGGGGTTGCAGTGCTCTACCATATATACTGTATATTTATCATCAAATTATACTTTTGGTTTTGTATTCTCTGAAAGGAATGGTACTGGAAGGTGGGTAAGGGGTGGAACAAAAGGACCATGCTCGGAGGTGGGTAGGGGGCGAAAACAAGAAGTAACTCCGTAGGGGGGAGTTCCTGATATAGATATATATAGATATATATATATATATATATATATATATATATATATATATTTTAGAATAAAATTTAAGCATGTGTGTTACTGTATTTTTATACTGTTATCTTGACCAGTGGTTGAGCCAACCGATGTTTGAGGTGTATAGTGTTCTATGTATGAAGTGTAATAGCATTGTATTATGTTGCCAGGTGAGTTTGGGTATTGTGGAAGGTGTCCTATTCTATGCACAGAGCATAGTATGTAGCTCATAATCTGATCATGTCCTTTGGTCAGGCCATATTGGCGATGTGATGACCTATCCATTTATCTACATTTTGTTCTGTTGTGACGTTGAGCTGTATTTTATACTTGCTGTATGTGTATTAGTTTTGGATCGCCTTTTTTTAGAGTAGAATGGAGACCTAGTTTGTACCTTCAACATATATACTAAAAGGTTGTAACTGAGATTCCATGCTTTCAATGGACCATATCATAATGGTTTCATTGGTTCCCCTTTGCTGAATAACAGGGCTCAATACTACAAAATGTTACTGTATGCATTGGTTATATCTTATGTCATTGACAGCTCTATTTTAATAGTGGTGGCCTTCAACTTCCTCAAGAAGGAGCTCTTATGACAGTCAATTCAATCCATTCTTTGAAAGCACTTTTCTATGTTGGTGCACTATAAATAACCTGGTTAGTGATGCAACTTAGTCTTTGGTGTACGCATATTGGCTGGTTAGGTTGGTCATTCTGGGCTAATGTCCAAAACCTGAATATTACATGCAATTTTACTGTTCATCAGAAGCTTGCCATACTGTCCACATTAACGTGCTGGCATCAGATGAACATCAGTCATTTATTCTTTGGTCATTTTGAGAAGTTTGATTAAATTGATATGTTTCCAGTCAGTGATCATGGGGGGAGCCCTCCCGTATGGCTCTTGTGTTCTGCCACTAGGGGGCTGCGGGGGGGTCTTCCCAGCGGGCAGAACACAATGATAGTAGTAATCACATGTAGAAAAATCCAACAGGCTGGTTGTACCAAAGTTGATAGCTGTATTGACTTTGGTAAAATAAGTCGGGCAGTTCAGCAGGGAGATTTGATCCATGGCTGGCTGGCTGGCTTTAGGTTTAGTCCTTCTTCCTCCCCCCCCCCAGATTATTTGAATGTCTGTCTTCTTTCCCCCACAGGTCAACTAAAAAGAGAGCTAGGACGGCATGCAAAGTTGTGAAATATCTTCAGACAGCACTGATGATCCTCTTAGTAGTGGCCCACGGAGAAACCGACAACCGCGAATAGTAATTATAGGTGCGGGGCTTGCGGGCCTGTCTGCTGCAAAATATCTCCTTGACAGAGGATTCACGGATGTCACCATCCTTGAGGCATCTGATCGGATAGGAGGCAGAGTACAAAGTATAAAACTTGGTGAGTGTCTATACCTTTTTTGCATTCTTTTTTTGAATGATTGTATCCAACATGCAGGAAGCATAAAACGAGAGCCTAGAATGTACTTAATTATCATTTTTCAAAAATTTTCGATGGTCACCTTTTTATAATGGTGCAGTTACTTATTTTTATGGAAATTTGTGGTTTAAGTTAGTTTTTTTGGTCACATTTCCATATTTATATATTTTTTTTTTTTTTTTGTAGACCACGCTACTTTTGAACTGGGAGCTACTTGGATCCATGGGTCAAATGGCAACCCCATCTATCATCTAGCAGAAGACAATGGCCTGTTGGAGGAAACCACCGATGGAGAGAGAAGTGTTGGTCGCATCAGCCTTTACTCCAAGAATGGAGTGGCACACTACCTCACCAGCAGTGGCCAGAGGATCCCGAAAGATTTGGTTGAAGAATTCAGTGATCTTTATAACGAGGTGAGTTGTAGAGCAGATAGTATAGCTATTGAGTGAGTTTTCAACCTCCGTGGTTATGAGACCATACTTTCAAAAGGTTACAGGTCCCAGAATTGAACATGTATAGTATACAAGGAAATCCAATTTCACATGGTTGTACAACACACCGTATGATGCCTGCTTTTACCTTTTTAAGATGCTCCCTCACTGCCCTGACCCACTGCTGTAGACCCCTGCAAAGGCCTGAACTTCCAGGTACCTGGCAAACCTAAGCTAACCTCTCCCACCCTCCATACAGTTCTGGTTCCTGGGCAACATATCCCAAGTCCTGGTTTGTGCCTAAACCTATCTAAATTCCTGCATTTAGAAAACCTGCTTATGCATTCTGTGCATAAAGGTAAAAAAACCTTCAGTATGCAGCTTTCCCTGCAGCCCTCCAATACTTATGCGGGCCTGATTGTGGTCCAGCGATGTGCACAAGAGCGGCTGCTCTGCCTCCTCATTGGCTAAGGCCGCAGTGCGATCCATTGGCTGTCAATCAGGAGGGGGCGGGACCAAGCCCTGTTCTGTGTCTTATTGCATGTACGCCGCTTGCTATGGGGGCACTCCGAGACGAAGAGGAGCCAGTAGCATTGGCAGGGGACATGAGAAGATGATTGAGGCTGCTGTGTGCAAAACCATTGCATGGAGCAGGAAGGTATAACATGCTTGTTCTGTGTGGTGTATTGGGGTTTTTTTTTTTTTTTTTTTTTTTTTAATTCATCTTTTATCACTTTGAGGCCTCATTCACACAGGCGCACCTATGTGTATACCCCTGCAAAGGGCCCATCTTTGCTCACACAGAATGCACAAGTGTTTGTGCAGTCCCATTACTGTCTGTTGGGGTGCAGCAGCTGCTTGGACACAGTCATTGGTCCCAATTTGACAGCCGTGCGGGTAGATCTCACCGAATGCACACTTCATTTGGGGACACACATCAGCACACACATGGCTGTCAAACTGGGACACTTTGCAACCCGTGCAGGCAAAGGTGGCCCTATATGCCTGTGTGAATGTGGCCTAAGGCCTTGGGAACACTTGCAGTTGTGGGGCAGTAAAAAGCATATCTAAACCCAAAAACAAAAGTGTGTGTGTGTGTGTGTGTGTGTGTGTGTGTGTGTGATTTCAGGTCCTTTTTTATATAGCGCTGTCAATTTATTCAGTGCTTTACATATATATTGTACATTCACATCAGACCCTCAAGGGGCATACAATCTAAGGTCCCTTCATACATAACGTTCATATATACACATACTAGGGCCAATTTAGACTGGATCCAATTAACCTACCAGAATGTCTTTGGAGTGTGGGAGGACACCAGAGTACCTGGAGGAAACCCGCACAGGCAGGAGCTGCTGTGGTTAGGATTCGAACCAACAACCCTAGTACTACCAGGTAGAAGTGCTAACCATTTAGCCACTGTGCTGGTTTTGTTTTATCTTCCCATCTGGTGATCTGGCCAGAAGATGCGTCCTGTACTTGTTCACACTAGCATTTGGGATGGCATCTAAACCCCACGGTTTACCCGCAAACCCCCCCCCCCCCCCCCCTCCCCTTCTGCCACGTGCAAAAGCGATTGAGCATTAGTACAGCTGCTCGGATCACTTTTTACTTTTGTAGAGAATCGCTGCCTGGAAAAAATTGCTCTCAGGATCTCCAGTTGCAGCCATGGCCCCGATATCACCATCACTTCCATAGGACATGTGTGTGTACATACACCGGTTGGGAATTTGCCAAAACTGTGTAATATAGGCAGACCTAAACCATTCATTGCACCCTTTTAAAATCAGTCAGACCCTTAGTTGATGGTAGGCCTAAAGGAGATGGTATGATCACATTGTATAGTGTATGGTCACCATTAATGGCAGGCTGAACACGTAATAAAACTGTGAAGGAGGATTCGAAAAAACAGACTTCTGTGATAATGCTACTGATCGTGCATCCTATGTCTTTTTGGCCTTTTAGTATGCCTAGAAGTTGATGCAAAGATGCATTTTCAAATACAAGCAATCTGTCTCTCAACAATAACCCCAAGAGCTGTGGGTTATGACATGGCTGCTGTGGATTTAGAAGACCCACCTATACATAAGCATGCAAATCTTGCTTGGGGACCAGAGAGCACCACAGTAAGGGTGAAAGCATGTATAGGTGAAGTCACTTGCCCGGAATTTCCCATCAAGGACTATATTTCTGAAGATTATAAATGATGTGCTTTTAGGTTCATTTATTGGCCTTTTATCATAGAAGCTGGTGTAGCCCCTTGGGATTTTTCAGTTTGGATAATTGTAAAATCTAATAAGAGATGAGGCTCTGTGTAGGCCATAATTTATTACTAATGCAGTCCCAATGATTAATGAGCCCTCAAAGTCCCCTTGTTACGGCAGAGGGGATGATTTACAATTAGCATGCATGCGCATAGCGGGCACAGGTCACCCATTGATATTCAGGGCACGAGTCGCGGTAAATTACTCTATAGACAAGGATGTAACTGACTCCAAGTCGGGAGACAAATGCGGGAGCAGCTTGTAGTGGTGTTTTTAGGAAAAGTCTACTGAAATGTCTAGCTATTAATCAGTAAGTGCCTTGTTTTTAAAAGCCAACAAATCTGTTACTGCAGAATAAGTGCACCCCGTGATAAAACATGTGTTTTGGAGCTTTTTGTATCTGGTTGGTCTAGTTGTGCCAGCAACCCTAAAGTCATCATGCCATTGACATGCGTGGGACCCCCCTCCCCATTGACAAAGTCAATTGCTTAATTGACTTCTGTTGAGGGGACAGGTTGGAAAACTTTTTGATTAGAGGCTGCAGCCAATCAGCTGGAGCAAATGGTCAGTATTTCTTCATTCACCTATTTTCTGTGAATTGCTGAACAAAATAGAAAAGCTAACCATGTATGGGTAGCTTTGGTTGTGCAAGTTCTTATCCTTGCTAGGCAAGAGCGCAAAGGTAGTTTTAGATGGTTTCTTTGATTTAACTCCATTTTCAGACTCCTGCAGATCCTTGTATCCAAAAGGTGTAGATTTGAACTGTTAAGACCCTTGATGATCCCCAGTACAGCTCTGAGGACAACAAGAATAAATAAATATGTGAAAGGTTATGATGCATAAATATCCACATTCTGTTCTGTGATCCCATCTCTGTGACTAAGCCCCAGGGGGGTGGGGTGAAACAATTGGGAGGAGCGAAAGCTGAGACTGCTCTTCACTTTCACTTCAGATCGGGCATATGGTTTGCGGCTCTTCCATACAACCTGTATGTGAAACTCTGCATTTGGAAATGTGCTTGATTAGCTTCCATATGTTGGTAGTTAAGGTGTACAAAAGTGCAATTCCCCTTAGCTCCATGCAAAGCTTCCTTTGCATAAAATGGATATCATTGAATATGCCTATAAAACATAATTACATGTAACTCCCCTTTTATTAGATGCTGATCATCCGCTCTAACGGCCTACTTTTTAACATTGGTTCTTAAGCAGCTCATACAGTAAGTGAGAAGATTTAGGTACTGGCTCTCCAGTCTGCACCTTTTGGGATTGATGGTTTTTGGAGATTTATGTACCAAAGCTCTGATGGTTGTGTTTTGGGGTGAGGTGTTGGCCTTAAATCGGGGGGGGTCCTCATACAATGGGCCAGTTCACTGTCCTGTGGATTTTAGGGGGACCAGACTGTGGTCAGTGAAAGTAAAAAAAAAAAAAAAAACAACAACAAAAAGCCCCCAGGGTTGGATATTAGTGGTAGTTAAAATTTAAAAAACAAAAATTACCTAACACAAGTGGTAAGCAGGAGGTGGGTATAATACCCCGTGGGAGCAATGGTGTCCCATTTCTGGTGTCAGTGGGAGCAATGGTGCCCCGTCGTTATCACCAGTAAAACTTCTGCCATAGTGTGTTTAGGTGGGGCTGTGGTGGCAGAAGGGCATTCAGGGTCCCCAAGGTAAATTCCCCCCCCCCCCCCCTGCTGTTTCCTCTCTGATCAACCTGATTGTCTCCCTGTGAATACATCACTAGGAAAGAAGAAACAAATGAGGAGGTAGGTGAGCTTACTTGCCTGTGCTCTACTGCCTGAATGGCTCTCCACAGCTGTGCTCCATTGTTGGTGTCGATGGGAGGAAATCTGCCTTATTGTTGGTGTCATTGTTGGCAAGAAGTTCTGCCCCATTGGTATCAATGGAAGGATTTGTCAAAACTTGTCATTGTGAGCAATAGTGCCCCAAGGACTGCCGTTTGGAGACAACTGACATAGTGATAACTTCTAGCTAAGAAATACCCTCGGACTCTGGCTAAACTGCCTTTTAGCATTGAGGGCAAAGGTCAAGATTCTAGTCCGATATCTAGAAAAGGTATCTTGTGGTCGTACCCAGTGTGTGCTTCAAATATTTTCTCACTAGATTTCCTCCTTTTTTATATATTGCTGCAATCTGATGAGTCTGCAGTAAGTGTTAGATTTAGATCTCGGAAATGTGTTGAGATTAAAGGTGACACTACTCTTTTTGGTTGTGATGAGCACAAGTGATCTAGCAAGCTTTGCGGAATGTTCATATGCGGATATCCGTGGTGCTGAAATTTTTCAGAAGCTGAGAGCAAATGCACCAAGGCAAAAAGAGGCCACTGTTAGCCGCCATAAGATTTGACTCGGACTGTGATGGATGTCTGTAAGTAGGTTACTATGCCTGTTATCTGGATATGAACACAGAAAATTTGTCTAAACCATTTTACCTTCTGATCCTCCTAGGTTTTTTTTTCCTTTTTATAAAAAAAAAACAAAACCATGTTTTTTGACCTTGCTTGCCGTATAAATTCCTCCACATGACACGTGAGATTCTTGCTGCGGAATGATTTCAGTGGAGGGATGGCTCGCTGTACTTGGCTGGCCTGAGCTTACATGTTCGACAAATGTACTTTTCTGTTCACCTAACAGATCAGCCCTGAGGGTAGTGAGGTGGAAGCGGAGACAGCTCGCTCTCACCAGCCTAAGATTTCACAAATCCCTGCCGCTCTATTCCCAGCCACAGCTATTTCCATATAGATTTACCCATTCATCATCTTATCAGAGCCTTGTGTGTTTTTTTTATTTCTTTTCTTTCCTTTCTTTCCTTTTCCTTTCCTTTTTTTTTTTCTTTCCCTTCTTTTTTTTTTTTTTTTTTCTTTCCCTTTTTCGTAAGTTAACTCCTTTTTAATATGTTTTAAAATGTATGTACATGGTGGAAGCTATTTTGCTTATTACATGCACAGTCTGTTTCCTGCTTTGCAATACATTGGTTGTGCTTTATTGCTTCTTCTCCCAATGCAAGTTTGTCAGTCAACTCATTGGGAAAAAAATATTTGGTCTGTTTTTGGCTAATTGTATTATCTCAACAATGGTTAGAGGAACTATAGTCCCCTATACTACAACCCCTCCCTTCCCTTGGCACCTTTATTGATCTGGCACCTGCACAGATGTGCCAAATAGCTCTGCCCAGCCAAACCATCCAGACACAGGTTTTTTTGCGCATGCGCAAAGAACCATTGGGTTTTGTGACTTTATCCCCACACCATCTTCACGCATGCATGGGAAAGCTGCACATGCACAGCTGTGCCATGGGACTCTTTTGGCATCCGAAGCATGTGCAAAATCTGGGTTGGATGGGGGGAGGGAACCTTAGATGGATATATAAGCAAAAAAAAAGTGAAGGTCCTCTTCAATAAATGAGAGTAATTGTAACCTGCAAATCAATACTGTCTCTAATTGCTAACCCCCTTCCAGCCCCCTCCTGGTAGCCTTGAACTGGGAGGTGGGACAGACTTTCCAATCACTTGACTGTGACCGTGATCATGAGCTCATCCTGCGAAACCGAGACCAGGAGCTGTCAGTGTGCTGTGAGTGTGCTCTAAGCACAGAAATCCTGGCCCCTATGGATGCATATGTATGGCCATTTTTAAAGTGGAATCAAACTTAAAATTGTGAAAAACAGCTGATAGGCGTGGTTTTTATAACACCAGAGACCCCAGTGGTCTCTTCTGTCTCAAATGCTTCTTTTCTGTTGGTAGTAATGTACACTGAGCCACTTAGTACATTTTAGGGCACCGCTCTGTGCCATGATGAAGTGACTCCCGTGCACATGCATGGGAGTGATGCCATAATGACCCAGTCATTCAAGCTGCCAAAAAAAAGCAAGCTGAGATTGGAGACTGGGGGAAGATGGAAGCACCAGGGACCAGCTGAAATGTTGACATTGCAGCGCTGGAGGGCATTATTTGACCGGTAAAGCTGCCATTATGTGCTGATATGCAGTGCATATTACCACCTTATGGCATAAACCTCCTAGGGGCCCTTTTAAAAAAAAAAAAAAAAAAAAAAAAAAAAAAATTGGACAGTTTAATTTTGCTTTAAGGTCCACCCTCCCTGATGCTGCACATGTTACGTGGTCACTGATATAAAAATATGGAAAAGCAAGCTAGAGTCACAAAGAAAATACTACACTTTTTGAATACCTAGCAGCCAATCACTAGGCCTGAGCACGGTCACATGACTGGGGGGATGATGTTGCCACTCACTAACACCACTGGTCTTCTGTCTAAATTGGCTGTATTATCTGCATACCCTTTAAGTAGGGACTTTATGGGCTACAGTAAGGTACAGACTGAGGTGAAGGGTATGTGGGCCCCTTGTATAGTTACTCAAAGTATACTGGTACTATAAATACGGAATAATATAACCAATAGTCAATGTATTAACAAATTAATTGCAGCATGATCTGTACATGCATCTTAATGGTATAGCAAAAAAACTCAATAATAAACGCACGTAAGTGGCAGCAAAGTCCATATGGAGGCAGAAGCTGGTGCATGAAGAAAAAAGCCTGATCCAGAAAGACTATCAACTTTCGCCCCCCAAAAAAATTGGCCTCTGACCAGAAGGTTTGATCAAAGGATCGGCCAAAACACGCAGTAGAGTATATCCAACTGATCTAGCACGAGATCCTCCATGCAGGCTGCTCCCGGTATGATCAGACCCTTCCTCAGATTATAGATATTGAGTAGCAAATGTCAAATCGGAGCTGTCCCCCAAAGCATTTCTTCTCCAAAACTAGATATTGCCAGTCTTCTGTCTGCTTTGAAGGCTATAACAGTAAGTACAGCAGCACAACATACCAGTAGGTACACGTCAGGTCCTCGCATGGGTTGAACTGTTGGCGGTGTGGTTTGGTGTTTAGATTGAATTCCCATCAGAGCTTTATCTGTATGATGTCTGTACAGTGTGCTCTTCCTGGGTTAATTTTGGGTTTCCTCCAGATTCTCAGATTTCCTCCCACAATCTGTCCTGTGCAGGCAGCTTCTTCTGTCTCTGATGATCAACAAATAACTTTTTTTTTTTTTCTCTCTTCTTTAGGTCTATAACCTGACTCAGGAGTTTTTTCAGTATGGAAAACCAGTTAACGCAGAAAGTCAAAACAGCGTGGGTGTCTTTACCCGGGACGTGGTGCGGAAACGCATCAAGGACGATCCTGATGACTCGGAGACCACAAAGAGGCTCAAGCTGGCCATGATACAGCAATATTTAAAAGTAAGCGTGTGTGTGGTGGTTTTTTTTTTTTTTTTTTTTTTTTTTTTTTTTTTTTTTTCCCCCATGATCGATATTGTGTACCTAGAGTATAGCTGTACTGGTATAGTGGACCTAGGCTTTTAAATGTTGTATTGCAGCTAGTAACGAAGGTGAAATAAAACAGACTATGCTAAATTGGCATCTATGAACCATTGGTTAGTTTTTTTAATCCATCCAATATTTCTTTCAATTTGAAGGGGTACTTTTTTTTTTCTTCTTTGACTGGACTAGGTAGAGATTTTGATGTCCTGGCCCTACCTTTCCACCTCATCCAGTCAGAGAATGCTTTGCATTCTTGTTCAGTCTTTGTTTATTGGCACTTACAAAGACATGGAACAAAAACTCTAACTGTTAGAATACAGAAAACCAACAAGAAAAGGTACAAGGTGGTCCACATCAGTGGACCTTCGTGGCCAGTAGATGACACAGGGTGATGACAATTGAATGCTTTGCATTTATTGCGAAAATGCAAAGTGTTCTCCGAATGGTTCAGTTGCCGGACAGTCAACCCCCATGTTCACAATACAGCAGGACAGCTGCCCAGCACAGGACCTGAAAGATAGTGGAGTTCACTGTAACAGCGGTGCCTACAACAGTGATTTCCAGCTTCCACTGGGATCTCAAGTCTTGGGTAGCACATTGAATACAAAGTGCATTTAACATCCAATTTTTTTTGCAATTTATTCTGAACAGTACAAGCTGTCTCTAGAGGCCTTATGATTTTGGTAGAGAATGCACCTGTCTTCAAGGTCCCAAGCAATAAGCTGGTGGAAGCCCTTTCTAGAGCTTTGATCTCTCTAGTTGGTCCTGTCTTTTTACCCAGTCCTGGCTGTGACTTTTTATTTCTCACTTCTCTCGTGTCAGTACATATACATTGGGCACTTTAGCTAAAGTGCTGGACTGCAGATGTCTGCATGGCCTTCAGGGGACAACCTCTTTTTCAAACCAACTCTAGATGGCATTCTCAAAGATTTACTGATGGCTTTCACAGTGAAAAAAGCCGAAGGAACAGACTGGAGTCTTCTCCCTTATTGCTGGGCACTATTCATTTAATCTCCCCACTCGTTCAGCCTCCAGTTTGAGACCCTCCTACCACCCAATTGTGGCTCTTAGTCCAGCAGCGCTCTCTGTCAAAGCCTCAGACATGCCTTCCTTGGCATTGAGGTACACAAACCCCCCCCCCCCCCCCCCCCAATTCCAGAGTGGGTGGATGTTTATTAACCATGAGAGTTCTTGACCTGATAGTCTTTTTGAGGAAATTCTATTTGCCCAGTTTTACTCCAGACCCCTTTAACGTAACATTCTGTCATTGTGGGACTGGTCGATCTGGTCTCTGCACAGATTGATTGTTTGTTTGTCACCAACAAGCTTGGTCATTCAAGAAACCAGCTGTTGAGTAGGAAGTCCTTCCTTCCTGTCTTTTTTTTTTTTTTTTTTTTTTTTTTTTTTTTTGGAGGATTCCTTTGACGGATTCCAGCTTGTCTGGTTGGGGAGTCCTGAGCACCCTGTCAGTGCAGGAGGTTTGATCTTTTGGAGTCTCTTCTTTCAGGCAACATCCTGGAACTTAGGATGCTTTTGGGTGTCTTCGGAGCATTGGACCATCCTATTGGAGGTTTATCCGATCCAGATTCAGTCAGACAACACCTCAGAGGTGGAATTCCTCACTTAACAGAGAGGCTGAAGTTATGCTATGGCAAGAGTGGTTGATTGTATTGTGTCCTAAACAGAACTTCACGTTCTGCCTTCGGTAGTACATTGACTTCAAAGAGCATTAACATCCAGTCTGTCCTTTGCAATTTATTCTGAACAGTACAAGCTGCCTCTTGAATTCTTCATGTTCTGCCTTGTTGGCCATGTACATTCCAGACATAAACAATTGGCAGGCTGATTTCCTCAGCTGGTAGCATGAATCCAGGTGATTGTCTAAACTGGTGGCCTTATCCTGCAATTTTGTTGCATTCGAAGAAGGTAGTGATGAGGACCAGGATTTCCTTCATGCTTATGGTAGTTTTTTGCCTCACCTCAGTCAGGACATTTTATTAATTTATTTTCATACCTCTGTTCAGTTCCAATTAACCAAAAAATTGGTTGGTGCTGTGAAAGACTTCCTCACTGCAAAAGTTAAAGACTTAATTTCCATATTTTCATCCTGGATGGACCCCTGAAACGCCTTGAAACAAACAACTGACAAACTCAAAAGAAATGCTCACCCTTTTTATTGCTGGCTATGTCCCAATGTAGGATGTCTTGTTTTAGTGATCATTGTCGCTAGGACATTAAGACCCAATGTTATTCAGGAACCCGCCCTAAAAATTGCATGTGGCCATTGACTATACATAGAGCAAACTCCATGTCAGTTAGCTAGGGTTCACATCTACTTTTAAATGTAGAGAACATAAGTACATAGGGGGGGTAAAAAAAAAACAGAACATTTTTATTCATTCTTTTGCACTGACCTAATAAGAATATTTTCCTTTTTGCCTTGTTGTGCCTTTCTTTTTTTTTTTTTTTTTTTTTTTTTTTTTTTAGCCTGAGCCCATTCATTTTGTGTACTCTGTACTTCTGGCTAAGCGATATTTGTTATTTAATTTTCTTCATTTCAGCTTATGATAAAGCAGTTTAGCGGAGTGTAAGTGTATATAATTACTCTACTGGATGCACATTGTTTGTGTGGAGTTTTTTTCTTTTTTTTTCTGTGTATTTTTTTTGGGGGGGGGGGGGGTTTCACTGCTCCAGCAACGCACGTTTGAATATTTCATGATGCCTTTTGGCTTGCTGATCCATTACTATATGCTTAGCTCAACACAGTATGTCTAATTTCACAAATATCTGTGTTCTGTGCACTGTCAGGTTTGTTCATGGCCTTTTTTGACTTTTTTTTTTTTTTTTTTTTCTCTCAAGTCCTTATTTCTAAGTTACGTCTACTGGGTTAATTCACCGTCTACATTGTGTAGTTCTAAATGAGGAAAACTTAAAAAAAAAAAAAAAAAAAAAAAAAACATGCAGACTTGTATTTTCTTGTAATGTATGTGTTCTGTGTTTATTTCTTACGCATTCAAGTGTGTAAAAGTATGAAACTCCTCCACCCTTCATTCTACATGGTTTCCCTTGGATTTTCACTTCGGTGCTGATCTAAATCTCATCCCACAATGTTATGCAAGAGCATCAGCAACTTATTCAAAAGATGACTGCACCTTCAGCTTAAATATTACAAAAATTATTTTGCACTAGTAAATATAAGAATATATCCGTGAAACAAAAAAAAATATATATACATGAATAATAATTAAATGAGGAAAAGTTCAAATAAATAGTCCACACTTAAGAATATATGTAACACAAAAAATGTGCACAAAATTATCTAAATGTGACAACCACCACCAAAAAACTAAATAAACTCACCAGAGCTATAAAACAAAAACATGTATTGCTCTGGGAGCGATAATATAATGGTAAGTCATTCGTAGATAAATCTTCAAGAAATGATATTCTGCAGAACCCCGATCCACATAGACCAATTTCAGATGGAGCAAAATACTTTCAAATTATCATTAAGGAAATCCACTTCTCCAAAAAAGCCACCCTTAATCGTATCCAAGGAAGAAGATGCCAGACACTCGGAAGAAACAAAAGAACTTCATGGTGCAGTATTATTAAAAACCAACTTCCTTTATTAGGTACTCATTGCACTTAACTCAGGAGGTGTCCCAGCCGACACCAGCGTCAACAGCATACAGCAATCACAGAAAATGGACTCAGCTACTCAGCACATGCGCAGTAGCTCGTAGACAAACGTAATGACGTCACATCAATCAAGCTCCTCCCTACGCATTTCGTCATCGACGTCCTCACGGAGCGGATGGATGTGAGACGTCGCAACTTCAATATGCACTGCACAGGGAACGATCAGCTGGCATCAATGGGGAATCAAGCGGACAAGCCGCCCCATGGATGACAGATATCCGCAGATGGTACACAGTATATATAATCTATTTAAACATCATAAAAGGTAAAAAAAGAGAATATATTAAGGGAAAATTATAATTAAATAACCAAATAAAATAAATATACAATTAAAGGGCCAATTACCCTCCAAAACCATCTCAAATACTCATAAGAAAAATTTAAAGGGCCAGTTATATATTAAAACAAAAATAAAGGGGAACTCTAATAATACAACAAAAATGTACAAAAAATATAAAATTAAAATGAAGTCACAAAAATATCACTGTTAACAGGCAAGTATATAAAATTAAAAATTTGTGAGAAAACAATTTCCAAATTGTTAATGAAATTTCCAAAAAAGAGACTTTTGGACTTATGAGTTAAATTCTTTGCAGCCTTATGGGTTAAATGTTGATATAGATTTAAATTGTTTTCTCACAAATTTTTAATTTTATATACTTGCCTGTTAACTTTATTTTATATTTTTTTGTGTATTTTTTGTACGTTTTTGTTGTATTATTAGAGTTCCCCTATTATTAGAGTTGTCCGCTTGATTCCCCATTGATGCCAGCTGATCGTTCCCTGTGCAGTGCATATTGAAGTTGCGACGTCTCACATCCATCCGCTCCGTGAGGACGTCTATGACGAAACGCGTAGGGCGGAGCTTGATTGATGTGACGTCATTACGTTTGTCTACAGGCTACTGCGCATGTGCTGAGTAGCTGAGTCCATTTTCTGTGATTGCTGTATGCTGTTGACGCTGGTGTCGGCTGGGACACCTCCTGAGTTAAGTGCAATGAGTACCTAATAAAGGAAGTTGGTTTTTAATAATACTGCACCATGAAGTTCTTTTGTTTCTTCCGAGTGTCTGGCATCTTCTTCCTTGGATACGATTAAGGGTGGCTTTTTTGGAGAAGTGGATTTCCTTGATGATAATTTGAAAGTATTTTGCTCCATCTGAAATTGGTCTATGTGGATCGGGGTTCTGCAGAATATCATTTCTTGAAGATTTTATCTACGAATGACTTACCATTATATTATCGCTCCCAGAGCAATACATGTTTTTGTTTTATAGCTCTGGTGAGTTTATTTAGTTTTTTGGTGGTGGTTGTCACATTTAGATAATTTTGTGCACATTTTTTGTGTTACATATATTCTTAAGTGTGGACTATTTATTTGAACTTTTCCTCATTTAATTATTATTCATGTATATATATTTTTTTTTGTTTCACGGATATATTCTTATATTTACTAGCGCAAAATAATTTTTGTAATAATTGTTACACTTTATGGTGGATTTTTGCAGCTGGTATATCCTAATAAGTGATTTATATATAATTTCTTTCCATAGGCGCCATTATATATATTTTTTTCTACCTTTAGCTTAAAGCCCACCTCTGGGTTGGGAACTTCACAGGGAATATTTCTGGCTCAATAAATGTTTTTATTGAGGTTGTACAAACAGTACATCATGTAACCTAACAACACAAGGGTGAACACACATTATGACAAATGTTAAATGTAGAGTGATTACAGGGTGGAGCACTCAAGACCCAAAAATGGGGCCCCTTACATGGAAGGCCTCAAGGTTTATGCTCAAACAGTAAGGTGTCATGTTTACAGGACCTTGTAAAGTAATGAGAGAATGCATAAAGATCAGAAACAATGGTGTGAAGGTGTGTTTTCATATATACACACAGAGCAAGGGGGTAAAAAAAAGAGGATGGGGGAGTAAGTTGCACATAGTCCAGAAAGGAAAAGCCAGAAGGACAGAAGAAGAATGGGAAAAAAAGGGGGGGGGGGGGGGGGGGGGGGGGAGGGAAAGTCTCAAAATGCCTCTGCGAACCTAGGCAGACCTATCTCATGCCCCAGCATAGGGGAAAGCATCAAAGGTGCATTGCCCTGTGGTCAGGTTGCCATTAATCTATCCATGGGGCCCAGATTTTCAGGAATCTCATGTTTTTGTCTTCAAATATTAATTTCTCATTACCATTGTGCCATTCAGACGGGTTTTAACTCCCTGGAAATTTTGCAAAGGAGTTTTCCAATAGTGGCAGATGGTTGGTTTAGTAGCCGTAAAAATAAAGTCAATAAGTTTAGCCTGTTTCTCAAGTACCACCTGAATAGGTTTAACAGGGCCTCCAGCTGGGTCCTTTTTTAATAAATTTAAAATGAAGAATCATGTTTATTTGCACGAACACCTTAATCCACAGCCTCCATACCCTCGGGCAGATTCACCATATATGCGCCATTGTTTTCTCCTGTCCATAGTTCCAGAATCCGGGGGGAGCCTCTGGAGAAAAGTTTAGAAATGCAAGCATGGGTCATGTACCAGTGCATAAGGACCTCATAGGAATTGTTCAAAACCACTATATTTCTGGAGCTGGTGGATGTAGAGGACCAAAATTCCTTCAAATCCTCCTCCAGGATATAGTAATGAGATGCGACTCAATGGATCACTTTCTTTTTCTGCTGTCCCGTTTTTTGGAAAGTGCAGGCCAGTGCAACACTTGTGTGATAATGTCTAAACTGTATATAATGGAAGATTCCTTGCAACGGCTGCTCAAACTTTTTCCCAGAACTATTCGAAAGGTTTAATCCCATTGGAATTGAGAAGAGTATAGCATCTGTAAAACTTTTTCTGGATCCACTAGTGGAATCTAGAAGGGGTCTCAAAACCTGGTAGAAACATTGGACAATGAACCAGGTTTAAAAGTAGAAAATGAGGTAAATACAACTTCTTTCATTTGTAACCCTAAGGGAATGGGGCAATCAGCGGAGGTGGGAGCCAGAGCAGAGAAGTTAATGCTGTGGCATTAGTCCATCCCATCTCAAAACTCATAGGGGTTTCAGTGGTAGTATGTTAGGTGGGTCAGCGGGGCCAGTTTTGCTGGCGACGGGGGACCCCCAAGCTTCTGCTGTGTCTATGCGGAGAAAGGGTCTGTCTATTAATCCTGGGTCTGGTTGTGTTAACAGGAAATATTTCATTGACCCATTTCCTTGAGAGCTATACAAAACTAGTGGCTGATTTAAACCCACCACTTTGCATCCAGAATGGAAATGTAACCTTGTTCAGTCCTGCTGTGACAAGCAGGAAAGAGCAGGTGTACCAAAAAACCTAGATTTGACTTTTTTTTTTTTTTTTTTTTTTTTGCTCAAATCATATTTCAAGCATGAGCGAAGAAGAGCTAATGCCAAATAATTGGGAATTTATGTGAATGGAGTGGAATTGGGAGCCACTAGCAGGTGCTGGCTTATCAGGAGTGAACAATATTGAGCTGGAGGTTGCCATTTCTGACCTGCTCTCCTTTTACCATTGGCCCGTCACGATTGCCAGTGGCCTCACTAACCAATAGTAAAGGAGCGAGTTGGCTTCACACAGTGACCAGGATGCTATTTTCATTGGAGTACTACCAATTTGGTGGGGTCCAGGGCCACTCTACAAAGGCTCTACAATGATGTGTAGACACTTGTTGGTGCCTGGAGTAGAAAGCAAGTGTTTGAGTTTAGTCAACTATCTCAGTTTTCAGCCTGTGGACAATTAAACATTTAATTACACCTGTCAATCTCCACATGGCCCATTTCTTAAGTAATGCTTGACTACATCACTTGCACTTAATGGGCTTTTGTTGCAGCACCCTGAGTAGACATGAAGTGTTACATTTGAAGGAAATGGCCAGTATGATGCTTGAATGTTTCTAGTTATGTCTGTATATTCCTCTCCACATGTTGTTGTTGTTGTTGTTGTTTGAACATTCTTGGTTATGAATCTCACATTTTTATTCCCAGGTGGAAAGTTGCGAGAGCAGTTCACACAGTATGGATGAAGTGTCACTCAGCGAGTTTGGGGAGTGGACAGAAATTCCTGGTGCCCATCACGTCATTCCCTGTGGCTTCATTAAGATTGTGGAACTCTTGTCGTCCTCCATCGCACAGTCTGTCATCCAACTGCGCAAACCTGTCAAAAGCATCCACTGGAATCGTTCCATCTGCAAGCGCATTGAGGGGGTGGCTGACCACAACAACGACCAGATGGAGGACAAGGGCTATCCCGTCTTTGTTGAATGCGAAGACTACGAGTTCATCCCTGCCGATCATGTGATAGTTACGATTTCACTGGGAGTCTTGAAGAAATTCCACGAGACACTGTTTCACCCACGCCTTCCAGAAGACAAAATCTTGGCCATCGAGAAGCTAGGGATCAGCACCACCGATAAGATCTTCCTAGAATTCGAAGAGCCATTCTGGAGCCCAGAGTGTAACAGCATCCAGTTCGTCTGGGAGGATGAGGCAGAAAGTGAGAGCCTGACATATCCAGAGGACTTGTGGTATAAGAAGATCTGCAGCTTCGATGTGTTGTACCCTCCAGAGCGATACGGTTATGTGCTTAGCGGTTGGATCTGTGGGGAGGAGGCATTGATCATGGAGAAGTGTGACGACGAGACTGTTGCCGAAACCTGCACTGAACTGTTGAGAAAATTTACAGGTCAGTACTCCATGTTAAAACAAAGGTATTAAACCAAAAAAAAAGTCTTGTCAAAAACGTCAGGTATAGATTTTTGTTTTGGTTAGCGGAGTAGCCGGTTCAATTTTCATATTGAACTCTGCAGTGGATAGATCTCCCTTCATAATTCCATACACTTCTTCTCAACCAAGTTTGAGGCTGTCCTGTCACAATTGGGGTATCTTCTGTGGTTCTGCTCCTCTTGTTCCACGCTTCATAATGTGGATCTGCTCCTCTTGTTCCACGCTTCCTAATGTGGATCTGCTCCTCTTGTTCCACGCTTCATAATGTGGATCTGCTCCTCTTGTTCCACGCTTCATAATGTGGATCTGCTCCTCTTGTTCCACGCTTCCTAATGTGGATCTGCTCCTCTTGTTCCACGCTTCCTAATGTGGATCTGCTCCTCTTGTTCCACGCTTCCTAATGTGGATCTGCTCCTCTTGTTCCACGCTTCCTAATGTGGATCTGCTCCTCTTGTTCCACGCTTCCTAATGTGGATCTGCTCCTCTTGTTCCACGCTTCCTAATGTGGATCTGCTCCTCTTGTTCCACGCTTCCTAATGTGGATCTGCTCCTCTTGTTCCACGCTTCCTAATGTGGATCTGCTCCTCTTGTTCCACGCTTCCTAATGTGGATCATGTTTAATTTTTATATCTGTAAAAGTTTTCATTGACTATCTTTTAACATGGGTAGATGCCTTGCACATCACCTGTCACCCACATATAATACTGCCTAACATCTGTTTCAGTGATTTGACCTTTCAGCATGTAATTCAAAGCACGGACACCTCTCCCACACCAAAGTAGTTGAATTGTGTAAATTCATGATTGGATTTAAGCCAATTCCACCTTTGTAATTTTCCACCACCACATTAAAACCCCCCCCACAAATATTTTTTAAACCAAATTTTGTTATATACACCATTTTTCCTAAGGTCTTTGGTCCAGCCATGTGATGCTCAGGGACCTCTTCTCTTCTTGAGCAGTGGGAAAGTCCTGAATACTGCAGAAAATGGTGCCTTGTAGTGAAATAGCATCAATCTCTGAAGCCTTCTCCTGTGAAACCCAGGGTCCTTGGCTCATAATGGGTTGTCACTGGACTTCAATTGATCAAGAAGATGGCTGGACTGCAGGAGAAGACTTTTGGAACTTCATTATTAACTGCTGAGATTTACATTTTCAATTGAGTCACACATCAATGCCTATGGCTGATCTACTCTGATTACCTGCTGTGGACACAATTTTTTTTACTTTTTTTTTATTTTACAAAAATGAAAGGTAAAACATTTGTGTATAGATATACATACCCTCCCTCCCTTTTTTTTTCTTATAACATTTGTATAAGTGATCACATAACCTCTGTTCTTAGCTGAATAAGGAGCTCAGAGCTTGGGAGGAGAAACAGCAGGACACTGATCTTCCCAGTGATATCTGTGCAGGGGTGGGGTGTCATCAGAAGTCTGATCATTGCAGGAGAGCAGACTATGCTCCCAGCACAGCCAGCAAACTAACCATGCTGTACTCTCAAGCCTAGTGTGGCCAGTTTTTAATAGAGAGTGGGAGGACTGGCAGGCACACAAAGGAAGTGAAACAAAGAAGTGTGTGTGTGTGTGTGTGTTAGTACATGGTACAGCAGGCACATATCAGGAAAATGAAATGTTGGGTTTACGTATTCTTTAAAGGACATATATAACTCAGTCTGTCATAGTATTCACGCAACGGTTATTCACACCTAAAAATTAAAAACTGGCACTTTCAGATGCCCGCCCATTCCTCCATGTCTGGTCTTGTTCCCCAGGGAGTTTGTATGCAAATTTGAACACTTCTGTTGGTTTCAGGAGTCAGCCTATGCTTCTACTAATGACCCATCACTATATTGATAGGCCTCACTCTGTATGGAGACATTTAATTTTCTGTAGCAATGCGGCCGCAGGAACAGACATGTTTGGCTTACAAAAGGTACCTATATTCTTAGAGAAAAAAATAAACGGGGGCTTCGGTGGCATAGTCTGTTATGTCACATATGTGATCTGCCAAGTCCTTGGTGCCCTCTGTTCTCCAGCGAGCTGCCTGTGCCGTGTAATACAATCTGTCTTCTAGAAATGTTTACAAGTACAGTTTAAGTTTCCGCTTGTCCACATGAAGGTCAGGATAGTAGTGATTAGGATAACTGACATTATTAATGAGGGTTTCTATTTTATTGAGCTGGATGCTTTTAAAGTGCCACACATAGCTAATTGTATGACAACATAAACTTAAAGCTGAACTCTGGGATAAACCAATACGAGTTCTATGTATTCTTTCTTGGATTGCTTTGTGTATTCCAGATCTGTGTAGGAGCTTCCTGTAATAAAGACCGGTCACTACTGCTTGTGCAGAGTGACTGGTCTGGTCTCCACCCCTCCTGTACTTTTGCTGGTGGGTGGAGCCTGCTGGGCTTTCCTACAGCTTTGCAGGTCATATACAGCACAATGTTGCTTCTACTTTTTACAAGGTAATAACTGGGTTTGCAAAGACATTTGGTGCATACATTGAATTTTATATCTTTTGTGGCTCTCAAGGAATATGTGAATGTTTTTGTGCCCAGAACTCTGCTTTTAAAGTGGTAATAAACTCAAATTTTTTTTTTTTTTTCTACCTACAGTAAAGCTTACCTGTCAGAAAAATGAATATCTTCTAAACGTGCACAGTTTAGGAGATGGTCTGCCGAGCAGCAGGCGGTGACGTCACCGGTGCATGCACTCTGATGGAACTGCATACTTGTGCCAGTCCGCCACCGAGACTCGCACGGAGTGACGTCATCGTGGCTCGGCCAGTCAGCTAACTGGAGCTCGCAGACCCAGGGGGGTCTTAGTTTACTACTGCTTTAAAGGTGAACCATAATGGACTAGTGCTTTTTACTAGTGCCCCAAAAAATGTCCTAGGACTAGGTCCATTAGTAATAAACTTTTCAGGATAGCAAAATGGGAGCTGCTGTTTTTTGTGGGATTTTTTTTTTTTTTTTTTTTTTTTTTTTTTTTTTTTGAGGGGCAAGTTGTAGGACCCTTGCCGGGTCACTGACCTGGAACAAGCTTTCAGGCAGCGAAGTGCCAAGAATCATGACTTGTTCCAGGTCACTGATGAAGGTATGGAAACCAGAAGGACAAGTGCCTGAAACATTGCCTTAAAAAAAGAGAAAAAAAATTAATATCTCAGCACTAATATTCCATATGTGCTGTGCTTAACCCCTTGCCTATCGGGCATTTTTACTCCCTTCCTGCCCAGGCCAATTTTCAGCTTTCAGCGCTGTCACACTTTGACAATTTCACCCATATGAAATTTTTTTAATCATTTTTTTTCGCACATAGATTTCTTTTGGTGGTATTTAATCACCACTGGGGGTTTTATTTTTTTTTTTTTTTTTGTACTGTAAATGTAAAAAAGGTAAAAATTTTGAAAAAAGTGCTTTTTTATTATAAAATTTAGCACAGATAATTTTTCTCATTCAGCGTAAGTACTTAAGAGGCGGCATTGATAACGAGGCACTGATGATGCACTGATATGCAGCAATGATGGGCACTGACTGGTGACACTGCTGGGTGGCACTGATAATCAGGGCACGGATTATTGTTGCATATCTCCCCTGTCACATTTGCCGGTTATCAGCAGTACTCTCCTCACACTGACAGCTGATAACCGGTGACTGTAATTTCCTTGTGATCTGCTGTGTCACTGGACACAGCTGATCACTTAGTAAAAGGCCGCTGTGATTGGCCTTTTACCTTCTCACGTGATCAACTGTGTCCATAGGACACATCGATCACCGACGGCGCTGAGTGCACACTGCTGGGGGGGCGCAGGGGTCACGTCCACCTTCCCAGAACTGGACAACCGCGCTGTAGCTGTCTTTCAGCTATAGCACAGTTGGGAAGCAGTTAGTCATTGTAAACCCTTACATATACCCAGTGAAGTGACTGACCTCAGGTGATACGGAGATGAAACAAAGTCCTGCGTACGTTGTACCTGTTTATCTGTAGTGTTCTCTTCTCTGTCCGTTCAAAGTGCCTAATTTTAAATCTTGTCTAACAGTTCATCAAAGGGGGGGGGAAGAGCTGAAATTACACACTGCACAGCTTGGTGAGGAGCGCTGTGAGAGCTGATTGGCAGTAGGAGACACACCCCCAACTTCCCCTTTCCCCAGCACACAGGAACAGAACTGAGGCTGTCAATCTGCTGGAGGTCCCTCCCCTGTCATTTTTTTATTTTAGTGTCAGGAAAGCTTTTCAGAAGTGATTCATGCTGATAGCAGAGGAATGAGATACCAGACAGAAATGACACTTCGTGCTCTTAACTGAGACGAGGGATATGCTTTGTTCATATTTCTTGTCTTTAATACATGGAAAGTTGAAAATTGAATTTAATATCCACACAGAGCAGGTAAGTATAACATGTTTGTAGACGTCACTTTTTTTTTTTTTTTTTTTTTAAATATGTCAAGGACAAAGGGTGTGTGTGTGTGTGTGTGTGTGTGTGTGTGTGTGTGTGTGTGTGTGTGTGTGTGTGTGTGTGTGTGTGTGTGTGTGTGTGTGTGTGTGTGTGTGTGTGTGTGTGTGTGTGTGTGTGTGTGTGTGTGTGTGTGTGTGTGTGTGTGTGTGTGTGTGTGTGTGTGTGTGTGTGTGTGTGTGTGTGTGTGTGTGTGTGTGTGTGTGTGTGTGTGTGTGTGTGTGTGTAATCTCATTTATTTATTTTTTATCCTTTTCAGGTTATTTTCAACCATGTGATCATTGTTCAGATCTCATTAGACTGCAAATAATTGTCATATGTTCAAAACAAGGATCCTGATGGATTTTGCTTTGACTTGTTTAGGTTTCTTCTATTGCTAGAAATTTGCAGACCGTGGGGTAGATTTACTAAAACTGGAGCACTCCATGGGAGCCAGTCCGCTTCTAACTTCAGCTTGTTCAATGAAGCTTTTGCAATAAAACCTGGAAGCTGATTGGTTTCTATGCAGACCTGCATCAGATTTTGCACTCTCCAGTTTTAGCAAATAAACCCCAGTATTTCCAGTGAGCTGTCATCCGTTCAATTTTTCAGTAACCATTGGCATGACTTGAGGTCCATAATATAAAGATCACAGCCCCACCCCCTTCCTGGCCCTGGTTCGAGGTCTGTGACCTTGCTCTTTGAATGATTTATTATAATATTTCAAAATGTAGCTTCAGGGAAATGTGCAGTGAGCGTGATATGTGGGCAGAAATTGCTGACCTCCTTTTTAGATGCTGGAGTGAATGCCCATAGAGCTAATGGTACCACTGCATTCCAGTCCCAGTTTTCGGGGAGCCGTATCTTAGGAAAGGCAGTAAGTGTTAACACATTAAACTTGCTTCTCAGGCTAGGTTTACAGTAGCAGCTATCACTGCGTTTTGGGAGGTGATGTCTTCCGCACCTCCCTGTTTTTAACTCTGTAAATGCCGCACCAATGCACTGCAACCCGCGGTTGTGGGGCGGTTGCCGCACAGCCCATTTCGGATTGAATAGGTCGTGTTCAGCAATGGTACTGCCCACCAGATGCAGGTGGGGATCGCAGCCTTGGAGCTAGTCTCGAAACCGTTTGATACCACACCATACACATCCCATTTACAAAAAAGTACTTTTATCTACGTATATTATTGTTATTATACAGGATTTATATAGCACCAACAGTTTGCTCAGCGCTTTACAATATAACACGATCACCTTCAAAAAAGTCCCCTTGCACCGCAATACAGCGCTCCCAGCCAGGGGCGGACTGACCATTTGGAAACTCTGGCACTGCCCGAGGGCCCGGGGTCAGTAGGGGGCAGGGGCGGACTGACAACTCATGGGGCCCCCGGGCAATAGGGTATCATGGGGCCCCTGTGTCCTTGCCCAAACTCAAAAAAGCCTATGAAAAAGGTACCAGGGGCATCTCATGGGGCTCCCTACTGACCCCGGGCCCTTGGGCAGTGCCCGAGTTTCCAAATGGTCAGTCCGCCCTGGTAGGGGGCCCCCTGAGATGCCCCTGGTACCTTTTTTCATGGGCTTTTTTGAGTTTGGGTAAGGACACAGGGGCCCCATGATCCCCTATTGCCTGGGGGCCCCATGAGTGGTCAGTCCGCCCCTGCTCCCAGCATTCCTGCACCTTCTGCTATTCACCCTGAATCTCTGCACACCCAACGTTAGAGGTGATTTATTCTTCCAAAGTAAATACACCTTTGTATACTGGTACCGACTAGTATTCCAGTGTCTCTCATTTTCTCTCCTTCACTCTGCTAATGTGACCCCAGTGCTGACGGAGAGGGGCAGGGGAGGGCCAAACAAGGATGATATGCAGGCACCCGATGTCCTCATCAACTGATGTGATTGGTTAAGATGATGGCAGCTAGAAGATCATAAAAGTGCACAATGAAAACCTGTGGCCATGTACTAAAAGGCAGGATTGATCCACCTGCTGGCTTGTATACAATTTTTGGGCATTTTGCCAAGGCACCCCTGAAGAAGCCTGAAGGCACCCTGGTTGGGAGGCTGGCCTTTCCTGTATAACACACCTACAATGGCAGCAATGTTGTGAACTGTTCTCTATTTATTATTATTATACCGGATTTATATATCGCCAACAGTTTGCTCAGCGCTTTACAATATAAAGGGAGACCATACAGTTCAATACAAGAGGGTTTGGAGGGCCCTGCTCCTTGGAGCTTACAATCTAAGAAGGAGGGGCTGGTGGTACAAAAGGTAATACAAAAGGTAATAACTGTGGGGGATGGACTGGTAGAAGGAATAGACTTCAGTTATTAGCAGAAGACAGGATAGGCTTCCCTGAAGAGATAGGTTTTCAGAGATCACCTAAAAGTGGGCAGAGTAGGCGATAGTCTGATAGATTGGGGTAGAGGGTTCCAGAGGATGGGGGAGGCTCTGGAGAAGTCCTGGAGATGAGCATGGGAGGAGGAGACAAGGGAGCTAGAGAGCAGGAGGTCATGCGAGGAGCAGAGAGGACGGTTTGGGTGATATCTGGAGACAAGATATCATCATGCACAAGTTGCCGAATGGTTTTGAGAGTTGAGTTCGTCGAAGGTCTTCCTGATCTCTAGTTGTCTTCTAGTGATGTTTTTCCCACTTGAAGTGCACGTGCCACTCAAAACATTGCAGCATCGCCGTAAACTGTGTTGAATCATGTCTAACACCTCTGTGGCAGATTTGCCCAGTTTCACACTTGCTCATTGTTCTAACTAGTCCATGATGAAATAACAGATGCAGTAATGCATGTTGTCAAAATGGCACCAGTTGCACAGCTCCTGATGTACACAGGACTATGTCTTTTTTTTTTTTTTTTTCCTTTATCTTTTAGCACACTGACTTATGAAGGTCGGTGCTCCCTGTGACTGTGCATGCAGCCTTGTGCTGCCATCTGTTGGACATGTTACAAAACTAGTCTCAAAACATTTTGATACCACCCTCTGCTGCATTTGTAGCTTAAAAGGAGGCCATAATAACGCGATTTTAAATGTATGTTTTTACTGTCCCACACGGCAAGTGTAAGTGAGCCTTTTGAAACTATTCATACACCGTTCGATTTTTACCACGTGCTGAACAAGTGAAAATCAATCACAGCGTGGATGGAGGAATCTCCCTGACAGGCATTGTATTTAGGCAATGGTAGCACCTACTGCTGCCTGGAAACCTGAGCAGTGGCGCACCTGATAGGATGCCGTGAGTGTTCGGTCGAGAATTTTTATGGCAATTTTAAATCCAATTTTTTTTGAGCAACCCACAGCTCAGATTTCAGCAAGAAACTGATACAATCCGAGCCATCCTGGCAAGCCTTAGTCCTTTCCCTCCTTTATATTTCCTTGAGCTCTCCTTTGTAACAATGTATAACTGTTCTCTGGATCATCAAGATATAAAATGACTTGTTCTGACTTCACCACCGCGCCCCCCCCCCCCGCACATCCATTCACTGGGAGGACCACTGTGCTGTCTTCTTCTCCAGCTCTCTAAGATCCATATACAGCTAAGAACAGAGACAATCTGATCACTTAAAGGTTATAAATGCTTTTTTTATTTATTTCAGTACTTTATATAGCGCCGTCCATTTACACAGCGCTTTACACACACAATAAAATATATATATATATATATATATATTTTTTATATATATATATATATTATATAGGTATATATATATATATATATATATATATATATATATTCACATCAGTCCCTAACCCTCAAGGGGTGTACAATCTGTGGTCCCAAACTCACATTCATTCATACATACACATACTAGGGACAATTTAGACAGGAGCCAGTTAACTTACTATCATGGCTTTGGAGTGTTGGAGGAAACCGGAGGAAACCTACACAGGCACAGTTTATAACACAAATGTGTTTTCTATTTTAAACTGAATGGGTTGTTTTACAAGGTGAGGGTTCACATAGGCTTTATAATGTTTGAGCAACATAACTGACACGTGGTGGTAAAATATGACCGCTTACTAAAAAGGTACAGGTGTATGAAGTGGGGTGTGTTGTGTGTGTGTTGTGTTTTTTTTTTTTTGTTTTTTGTTTTTTTCTTGGAAGGTTTTGTTTTTGGCATATGAGGATGCCTGCAGTATGCTTGGGAAATCAAAATGACACATTTACTTTCAGAAATTGTTTTACGCTTCTTTTTTTCACCTAAAACCATTGCACTTTACAGCCAGGTTGTATTGTTCATGTTACACATTTTATTATCTGCTTTTTTTGATTTTTTTTTTTTTTTTTTTTTTGACAGGGAATCCAAACATTCCAAAACCTCGACGTATCCTGAGGTCCTTCTGGGGCAGTAACCCGCACTTCCTTGGCTCCTATTCCTACACGCAGGTGGGCTCCAGCGGGGCAGATGTGGAGAAGTTGGTCAAGCCACTGCCTTATACAGAGAGCTCCAAAACTGCTGTAAGTACCCAGGCAAGGGCTGCCTACCTTACAAATCTCTCTCATTCTGTCAATGTACTGTATAATGCTGAAACAGCACTCTGGCACAACCACTTACTGTGTCCCTATTATACATAGTAGATAGACATATATTGAACACATTACATGAACATTAACCCCCCCCCCCCCCCCCCCCCCCCCCCCCCCCCCCCCCCCCCTGCATCTCCTGGAAGAGAGATTGAAATATACCTGCTAAGAGAAATACAGGGGCTTCTTCTGAAAATTCTACATGTTGGGCTGTACATGGCTTCAGTATACAGGTGTACCTCGGTTTATGAATTTAATGAGTTCTCCGGGACATTTCGTATTGTGAGAAACTCGTAAACCGAATTGCGGTTTCTCATAGGAATGCATTGAAAACCAATTAATCCGTTCCGGAGGTCAGAAAAAAGTAAAAAGAAAAGGAAAAATAAAAGTCTCACTATAAATCAGTGCAGGTTTTTAAATTTAATTACCAGGTTTTTTTTTTTTTTTTTTTTCCTTCACTATAGCTCAGAGAACTTGCTGTCACTCCCCCCCCCCCCCCCCCCCCCCCCCCCCCCCCCCCCCCCCCCCCCCCCCCCCCCCCCCCCCCCCCCCCCAGCTAAAAAGTTTCCTTTTTTCGTTTATTTCCCCAATTTAAAAGAAAAAATGTTTCCTTTTAGTTTGTTTCCTGAGATAAAAAACAAAGTATCCTTTTAGCTCCGGGGAAAGTGACAGTTAATTCTGTGAGCTATAGTGAAGTAAAAAAAAAACCAACCATTGCATTTAAAAATCGGCACCGACATACACTTCGTATTGCGAGAAATTCGTAAACCGAGGCATTATTTCCAATGGATTTTCATTTGTAAACCGAAAAATTACATTAACTGAGGCGTTCATAAACCGAGGTACACCTGTATGTTATACACCTGGAACAGGAATGCAGCATCGGAGCCAAATTCTTCATCTCTACCTGTTCATGGTCAATGTCATATAAAGACGTTGTCACAAAGGTGGCCTCTCATGACACACCCTACATATGGGTGTAACAAACATGCTTGCATTCCCCAACCCATCATCTTCAAACCGCTTTCATCCTCCTTACCTGAATCACGAGGTGCTTCTCCCTGGACTGATGGGGATATGTGAATGGTAAGACTACAAATCCTATCTTCCACAGCAGCAGAGGGACTTGTAGTCCACTGGCACTGCACTTGTAGTCCATTGTTTACTTCTTCTAGCCCCATAGCAGAAGGTCCATACCTCTGTACAGACATGGGGCTGAGATGTAAACCATTCTGGAGCCTGCACATCGTACATGCAATGCACTGATTGCAGTTCTATGCAAAAATGTAATAAAAAAAAAAAATATAGCATTTATTTTTTTTTTTTTTTTTACCTGTTCATATGACTTCTTTCCTGGATCATGCCCCGGGGGGGTCAGGCTGTGCCAAGATCTCACTGGCTGTGTACCTGGGACATAGCCCTTGACAGATCTGTGTACTGGCCCATTGCCAGTACCATGTGACCTGCTGTAATCAGTCACAGCAGGTCACATGACAATTGTAGATAATGGATGGCTTCCTTTCTTCCCATTCATTGTAATATAATTGTCACTAGCTCTGATTGGCCACAGTGATCAAATGTACAGACTGGGCCAGTCACAGCCCATCGGTGTCATGTGATTAGCTGTGGCTAATCGCAACAAAAAACCTGAATGAATCGATTTTTCATTCAGTCAAGTGCTCGCTTATAGCAAAGAATTTTTTTGCTATAAGCAATCATAATGTGTAGTGTGAAAAAAAAAAAAAAAAGTTTAATTTCTTTTTCCAAAAAATTACAACTTCAAAAAAGTTTGTCATGCCTCTTACTAAATACCTCATGTCTACTTGGCAAAAAAGGGTTTTTTTTTTTTTTTTGGGGATATCTGTACTGTCCTGACATTTTTGGGCCTCAAGAAATTAGACTGTCTGTCAGTACTTCAGGATTAATCAGTTTTCAGATATATAAAATAGTTTGAACTCAACTTTCCTACAGACTAAAACACTGTTTTGAATTATTTTTGCCAAAGAAATTTAGCAGAATACATATGGTCTAAATTTATGAAGAACAGTTATTTGCATACAGAAACAAATGTGTTTTTTGCAAATTTTTTTGTGCCTTTTCGTTAATTTAGCAAAAAATTAAAACCGCAGTGGTGATTTAATACCACCAAAAAAAAAAGCTCTAGTGTGAAGCAAAATGCTAAAAATGTAGTTTGAATGACAATTGTGCGGTCATGCAACACTGTACCCAAAGTGTCAGAGCGCTGAAAGATGAAAATTTGGCCTGGGCAGGAAGGGGGTGAAAGTGCACAGTACTGAAGTGGTTAATTGTATTATACTTTCCAGCACACATGCGTCAAAGGACTTTGCCTGGCCTTCGGGTCCTGGCTGAGCCTTTCAGTGCCTATGTACATGCACAATACATTTGCCACGTGTGTGCACAGATGGGGAACGCATGCATGGGAAACCCCATGTGTATTCAGACGGTCAGGAAAACTGCACGTGCAGCTGTGTCATGAGCGTGCTTGCACAGGGGATACGTGGAACACCTGGGCACTATGGCCCATACATGGATGTATGCTGTATTCATGCATGTGTGAACAAGGCTTAAGGGTCATTATATTAAATGACCTTTAAAATTCTAAAAGTTAAACTCTTAAAAGTGCTGTGCTCATGAAAACACAATATAATGAAGAAAATACTAGAATCCAGTCCACTGTATACAAAAAAATTAAATATATAAAAGTCCGCCATTCAGTGAAGCGTGAGAACAAATTATTTGAGATATATATCTCTCTATCTCTCTATCTCTCTCAGGAAGGAAGGGCAGTTCTTCACATTTATAGACATCACACCACAGTGTTCATCCACTGCATGCTCATTAGAACATGCTTACCTGAGCAAATTGACCCTCTCTATTTAATAGAAGTCCTAATATTTGTATACAGGAGATCCTCCATGGTAAGGTGTAGTACTCGTCACATATAGATCTCTATAGATCACCCTCCAATTCTCCAAAATGTTCCAAAAGAAAAAAAAAGAAAAAACCAAGAGTGCCACATGGTGTGAAACCATATGGATAAGTTTTTATTAAAAAGCCAAAATATTCACAAGTATGGACATGTAGTTCGTATATAAAATAAAGGCAGTCCTGGGGATCAAATGATCCACTTCTTTACTCCCCAAGATGCATGATGACATCACAAACTTGGCTTACCCTACGCGTTTCATCATAAATGGTCTTCTGGTGCAAGGTAGCCATATTTAGTCACCATGCAGCATTTATCAAGAATGGTCACAGGGAAGCCAGAAGTGAGGCAAAAACCCCTAAATATCCGAGTCTCGCTTGGAGATGAACAGGGAATCTAGCGTCTCAAGATGGCAAATCAAACCGTTAAATCAATGTATAGCCCAAGAAGGCCACACACTGAACTGAGCCATCTAGTGGTCAAAAAAGAGGAGACAGAAGAAACTGTTCAAAACTGAATACTTCTGTTCATGCACAAGTCTAGTTGGGACTGGTTTATCCCTAGCCAAAACCTATTTTTTGTTTCGGATACAGTAGGAAATCGTTAAAACATCTGTCGGTATTTTTTATTTTTTTCTGTCCCTGGCAGGTTTCCTTTCACTTTCTGTCCTATTGCCACAACAGGAAGTAAGAGTTATTCTCCAAAGTGAGGGGAAATCCTACCTTTAAACAGGTGTCCCCATTGGAATATTTCCCCTCGCCTCCTGTTCTGGTGCCAACTGTAATACTTTTGCTGTCCCACCACTCTATCTCGCTGACGGTAATCACCAGGACAACTAGGGTTCCTTTCTCCACCATGTATACAGACCACAGTATAACCTGACAGGGGTTCTAATCCCAGCTCTCCAAAAACGTCAAACTCCTCCAAAACTACAGAAAAAATATATTCCGTATTTTTCGCTCCATAAGACTCACCTGACCATAAGACGCACCTAGGTTTTAGAGGCGAAAAACAAGAAAAAAAAATATTCTGAACCAATGGAGTGCTGACACAGTACAGGGGATGACCAGAGACTGCGGACACAGTGCGAGAGATGACCAGAGACTGCGGACACAGTGCAGGAGGTGACCAGAGACTGCGGACACAGTGCAGGAGGTGACCAGAGACTGCGGACACAGTGCAGGAGGTGACCAGAGACTGCGGACACAGTGCAGGAGGTGACCAGAGACTGCGGACACAGTGCAGGAGATGACCAGAGACTGCGGACACAGTGCAGGAGGTGACCAGAGACTGCGGACACAGTGCAGGAGGTGACCAGAGACTGCGGACACAGTGCAGAGATGACCAGAGACTGCGGACACAGTGCAGGGGATGACCAGGGACTGCGGACACAGTGCAGGGGATGACCAGAGACTGCGGACACAGTGCAGGGGATGACCAGAGACTGCGGACACAGTGCAGGGGATGACCAGAGACTGCGGACACAGTGCAGGGGATGACCAGAGATGCGGACACAGTGCAGGGGATGACCAGAGACTGCGGACACAGTGCAGGGGATGACCAGAGACTGCGGACACAGTGCAGGGGATGACCAGAGACTGCGGACACAGTGCAGGGGATGAGAGACTGCGGACACAGTGCAGGGGATGACCAGAGACTGCGGACACAGTGCAGGGGATGACCAGAGACTGCGGACACAGTGCAGGGGTGACCAGAGACTGCGGACACAGTGCAGGGGATGACCAGAGACTGCTGACCTTTGGGGAGGGAGGGGGAGCGGGTACCTGAATTTGACAGGTACCCGCTCCCACTTCCGCGGAGTTGTCCTTCCCTCATCTTCCCGGGCCGGCTTCTGTGACAGCCGGGTGCCCACTGCGCATGCGCGAGAAGCGCTGCGCTTTGTGAATGGCCCGGCGCCTTCTGGGACCTGTCATGTGTCCCAGAAGACACCGGATCATTCACAAAGCACAGCGCATGCGCAGTGGGCACCCGGCTGTCGCAGAAGCCAGCGCGGGAAGACTGTGCAGTGCTGGAGCGAGGAACAGGTAAGGCCCTGCAGGAGAGAACAGCTGAGAGGCCGGCCCGGTATTCTGACATGGTGGCAGAAATACCGGACCGGCCGCTTTATATTCGCTCCATAAGACGCACTGACATTTTCCCCCCTTTTTTGGGGGGAAAAAAGTGCGTCTTATGGAGCGAAAAATACGGTACTTATCTAGTTTTTTATATTATATTTTTATTTAAGTTTTTATTTAGTTTTTTATTATAATAATTCTATTTTATATTCTAATACCGGTACTGATATGATGACGCCTAAACTTTTCTCCAGCCCATGCAGGTGATGTTTTCTGGAGAGGCCACCCATCGAAAGTATTACTCCACCACCCACGGTGCTTTGCTCTCTGGCCAGAGGGAGGCGGCCCACCTTGCCGAAATGTACCAAGATCTCCTGCCATGCAAAAACTGAGCGAGCTCCAGTGATTAAAGAACCACGTCACTTGTGACTCCTGCCAGTGTGTGTTTTTATCTTTGTCATTTCCTTCTTTTTTTTTTTAATCTAGATAGTAGAAGAATTTTTATCTTTGTAAGAAAAATCCTAACCGTTTTACATCACGAGAGGTCTGTAGCAGAATCATGTACTGTATTGTTAACGGGGGGAAGGTGCTCCGCAGTCCTTTTCATGTTTTTTGTTGGTTACTGTATGCACACTTGGTGCCTTTTTTTGAATTCTTTTTCTCTGTATTGTAAGTGCCTTCTATGACAAATACTACAAAAACATTCAATAAAAGAATATCAGGTCGAACAGCTGTGTGCCTCTCCGCGACATAAGGCTGTGTTTGTTTGCCATGTCTCCTTTTTAGCTGTATAGGTATTGATTAGACTTTTTACAGATTTTTTTTTTTTTTTTTTCTTGTATACCAATGTACTTGCCATTGACGTAACGTAGATAGATCTGGTTAATGTGTGTTCATGTGCTACTGGTCTTAAGTCTTGTTCTAAGTGTTGTGTGTGATTTTATATATTTACAAAGGGCAGCTATATTTGCTCATTATGTATGCATGCTATGCTTACTAATCTCTAGTGGCTCCGGTCATATGGGGTAGCCATTGTATGTCTTCATAGCATCCTTGACTTGTACAGTCAGCGGTTGAATGATCCTAGATCTTAGTTGAAAAATCTATATTGTTCCTTGGGGATATTAAATGGCACCATGAGTGTCCACATAGGGCTTCAACATACATGAAAGCCTCCTGTTTATTCCTCCGTTTTATAGTAGAATGTCCATGTTGTGGACGTGCTATAGGGCCAAAAGCACGTGGACAACCTACAACTTGAGTTCAGGTGTTTCCAGTGATTTGATACTGATAATACAGCATAGAAAGGCATTTTAGACCAGTGTTTAATGGAACCCTAGGGTTCCTTCAGAGATTGCTAGAGGTTCCTTGAGCAATATGCGATTTCTGCCTCTCAGATGAGTAAATGACACCATTATCTTTTAGCTATTTGTAAGGGGGGGATTATTCCCATTGACCAAAAATTCAAAACATTCTTCCCATTGACCATCGTACTGATTTACTGTGAGCTGTAAATATATTTACCCAGCAGGGGTTCCCTGGAGACAAAAGTTATATCAAGGGTTCCTCCATGTTAGAATTGTTGTGAATGGCTGTTGTAGACAATAGTGGGCTTCTGACTTGTAACAGTTTGGGGAAGGTCCTTTTTCTGTTCCAGCTTGACACTGCCTCTGTACAAAACCAGCTCCATAGAGACAGTTTGGTGGATTTGGCTTGGAGGAACTTAAGTGGCCTTCAGAGCCCCGACCTCAACCCTACTTGACTCACAACTTTTGTGTTGACCCACCTCAACAAAAGTTGTTCAAGTCTTCTCATCCAACACCTGAACGGCCACAAATTGGGATGGGATTTCCAGCAAGCTCCCTATAGATGTTGATGGTCAGGTGTATGGGCCATATAGTTTAGATTTTTACCACGAGTATAAACCACCATATACTCGTTGGAGGGCTTATCTAATGTGATCACTGCAGTTCAACATGATTGCAAGCTGATTTCATGGCCTAATCTATAGGCGTGCATTGCTGGGAATGTCTATAAACATGGATCAGAAATGATCATGGCACAGGAAATGTCATCACATGAAAATAATATTTAGGTGAATAATACAAAAACTACAAATACAGCAAAGCTTGCCTTTTTGTGCTGCCACTGCCATAGTCTTTGAAAAAAAAACAGTGACTGATTTGAAGTTCTAGCAAGGTGGACCATGTCTAGGAATATCATTGCAGTTTTCAAGGGTGACCACCGTAAACTGTAACCTTTTAAAATTCTAAAAATTAGTCAAAGGAAGATATGAAGAGGTTTCAGCTGCAAAAGTGAAAATGCATTTTACGGCCTCATGTACACTGTTTTGTGTTTTTTTTTTTTGTTTTTGTTTTTTTTTTTTTTTTGTTAAATGTTTCTAGGGGCATCTGGCATATTTTCTCCCCCCCCTGTGAGAAGACCTCTAAAAGCTGATTGGAGGGAAGTAACATACCTCCCTTCCACACAGCTTACAGCAACAGAGCTGAGGTTGTCAATCTGCTGGAGGTCCCTCCCCCTGCCACCATTTTTCTCAGTGTCAGAAAAATTTGTCAGAAGTGATTCATGCTGATTTGCAGAGGAATGCAGCAGCAGACAGAAATGACACTTAGTTCTCTTAACTGAGACAAGTACACACTAGAAGGATATGCTTTGTTCATATTTCATGTCTGAGGGTTACAACCACTTTAACGCGCAAGAACCGAAACGGCTCTAAAAGTGCAGATTTAGGCCAGCCATAGATGGATTGAATCCCAGACAGTTCAGCAGGGACTGAACAAAATTAAATGTAATATATTGCACCTTACCTGTTCTTTGACATTTGCTGAATATGTACTTGAAAAAAAAGAAAACTAATGCAATCACATTGTCTAATACCTGTTGATCTTGTCAGAAATGCAGTGTCCTTCTCATCAATTAAACAAATCTCAAACCATTTTATCTTCCATCTAATTAATCTAGTGTAAACTACAAATACCCCCAATTCCTTTTTAAAGGGGATGAAGAGAGGACATATTTGTAGTCCAAATCAGTAGAGCAGCCTAGAGTGACAGTGCTGCTTCTCCAAAGATATAGTGGAGTGAGTATTGTCATCCTAGGTCAGGAAGTATTACTGGTAGAATTTCAAGGTAAAAATACTGGTAAGCTGTAATATATTCAATTTATATTTTTGGGTTTACATATGCTACATAAGTGCAGTCTACCTTGTGTGCTCTGAGAGCCATACTATCATGTGCCAAAGCACATAGACCACTAGTGTTATCAACATTCCCCATCAGAATCCCAGTGTTGTGTTTTGTGTTTTTTTTTATTTTTTTTTTTTGCCCCCCATTTGTATTTTTCATTCAAATAAACCAACTCAAAAGATGAGTCAAAAACAAATCTTCAGTTTCTCTGATTTTGCTCTTTTTCAAAATAAAATGACTTAAAATCTATCTGCTCCTGATATGATCTGTCTGATGTTGAGAATGTTGGTAAACTGCCGTAATTAGTTGAACACCTATTATTATTATTATTATTTATTTTTTTAGAGGTCTTTTGCAGTGCAGCGTTGCCTTGGGGTTCTTATCTCCTTATTTTATTTAAAAAAAAAAAAAAAAAAACATTTGGCTGAATATGAGCAGATAATATTGCCCTGAAACACTTCAGAATTCATCCTGCTGCTTTTGTCAGTCACATCAATAAATACAAGAGAACCAGTTCCATTGGCAGCCATACATGTCCACGCCATGACACTACCACCACCATGCTTCACTGATGAGGAGGTATGCTTAGGATCATGAGCAGTTCCTTTCCTTCTCCATACTCTTCTCTTCCCATCACTCTGGTACAAGTTGATCTTGGTCTCATCTGTCCATAGGATGTTGTTCCAGAACTGTACCAAACTAAATCTAAAAAAGCCTTCAAACGCTAATCTGGCCTTCCTGTTTTTGAGGCTCACCAATGGTTTCCATCTTGTGGTGAACCCTCTGTATTCACACTGGTGAAGTCTTCTCTTGATTGTTGACTTTGACACACATACACCTACCTCCTGGAGAGTGTTCTTGATCTGGCCAACTGTTGTGAAGGGTGTTTTCTTCACCAGGGAAAGAATTCTTCGGTCATCCACCACAGTTGTTTTCCGTGGTCTTCTGGGTCTTTTGGTGTTGCTGAGCTCACCGGTGCGTTCCTTCTTTTTAAGAATGTTCCAAACAGTTGTTTTGGCCACGCCTAATGTTTTTGCTATCTCTCTGATGGGTTTGTTTTGTTTTTTCAGCGTAATGATGGCTTGCTTCACTGATAGTGAGAGCTCTTTGGATCTCATCTTGAGAGTTGACAGCAACAGATTCCAAATGCAAATAGCACACTTGAAATGAACTCTGGACCTTTTATCTGCTCATTGTAATAATGAGGGAATAACACACACCTGGCCATGGAACAGCTGAGAAGCCAATTGTCCCATTACTTTAGGTCCCTCAAGTGGGAGGCACATATGCAAACTGTTGTAATTCCTACACCGTTCACCTGATTTGGATGTAAATACCCTCAAACTAAAGCTGACAGTCTGCAGTTAAAGCACATCTTGTTCGTTTCATTTCAAATCCATTGTGGTGGTGTATAGAGCCAAAAATGTTAGAATTGTATCGATGTCCTAGTATTTATGGACCTGACTGTATAAGTAGTAGCTCGGTGTTAAAGCCCATGTCCATTCTGCTACATATTTGTATACAGCTGGTGGCAGCAATTTAATGCCCAGTTGAACCTTTTAATTTTAATAGGGCAGGGGGGGTTCAGTTACCGTGGCCTAAAAAGTAAAGTTTTTTTTTTTAAATATATTGTTTTATGTTCTAACACTATATCAAGTTGCTCTGTACTGGCCGTACACTGGAGATCCAGAATGCTCTTCTCTGACACACCCAGAAATATGCTTTGATCACCACTGCTGCTCCAAGCTACATGAGGGTTGTTGATTGGAGGAATGTGCAGGGGGTGTGTCGCATCGAGAACCAGACTGCTGCACTTGGATCTCAAGGGTACCTTCTAGCACAGGCTGGCTTAGTATAGCAGTAAAGCACTAGAACTTTTAATCATTTAAAAAACAACCTTTTTAAGAAAGCCTGACCAAATTCAACTGTTTTTAAAATGTAAAGGTTCAATTGGGTTTAAAAAAAAAAAAAAAAAAAGTTTATTAAAGTATTTCTCACAAAAAAAAATACTAGAATTGTAATTTTCTTGTAGGTATGGGAGAATTTCACTGAAGTGGTGCACTCAGGTCTTTTAGCATTAAAGAAATGACTGGCATGAATAGCTATTGTGTGACCTGGTCAGATGTTTATCATCCATTATGAAGGATAATGGCTTTTATAGCATACTAACAGCTTTACTTCTACAG